AATTTACATTCATATAATTTCTATGACTTCCCAAATAAACAAATACCATAATCGAACCCAAATGGTACAACTATTCCATAAATGGTTTGGATGCTAACCCGAACATCTATATTTATATTTGATTTTTTTTTGCTATTGCAATGAAAAACATTGCTTCATTGTCAACAGAATTTGAACAGAATACAGAAAAGAGCATAACATATTTAAACAAAAACCATTGTGCATAAAAGTTTTGATTGAATTTCAATTTTCAAAGGATTTCGTCATCGCAAACTCTCAAATTTGACGGAGATACATAACATCGTCAACTGACATTGTCGATCGAACGTTCTAACTGCTTCTTTAGCAAACCCCACACGTATCATTATATTGACGCCAATAGGAATTATTGACAAAAATATCGATGGTGTGAATACTGAACTATTGTCAACATCGTTGTATTGACGTCAATATAAAATGTATTGACAATACGATTATTGCCAATAAAAGCTATCGTGTTCACTTATGATGCTGTTGCACCTGGATTTGGTGGTTCGCAGGATTCGGAGAGAAGCTCCCGGATGGCATCCCGTCGAAAGCGGCGAGCCAGTCTATCCTGAATATGTTCGGGATGCTCCTGCAGAAATGGAATATGGTCACTTCATCCAATTTACGTATGTAAGCTCTCTTAATTCTAACAAGATTTAAGAACGTCTATGCACTTCTGCATACATAGCGGAAGACCTTCAACATTCTGTAGGAATATACCTGAACATCTGGGTAGGTCCCTGAAATTAAACGTAATTTTTCTAAACATTCAGGAACTTCGGAAAGCTTAAAATCCTTCCAGAAAGTTCAATTAAAGTGAGATCTCTGAAAAACTAATAAGAAGTTCAGTAAATTGCTAAGAAGTTATCTGAACTATTACAAAAAATTCTGAGCTTCTATGAAGTTCACTGAGCTTCTGATCAGTATGACGAACTTCTACGTGTTCAACACGGATGAGGCTGGCGAGCGGTATGTTGTTTGGAACGAGGGTGACGCGCTTGGCATAGATGGCCCACAGTGACTCACTAAGAGCTACTGAATCCGATCAGTAGCGATGCAGCTTCTTCCTCCTCCTTCGGTGAATGGACGCTCATGTGGACTGCAGCTCGCTGCTTCCGAGCAGCCTTTCGTTGTTTACTGGAGAACAATGTTCAATGTTGCGCCGAAAGCACTGCTGCTGCTACTGCTGATGGTGACGAACGACCGGACACCCTCACACACGGTGATGGAATAACAGGGATGCCAGATGATTTTTTCAAAAGTCTGTTTGAGTGTCAAAAATCATGTCTGTTTTTGTCTGTATTGTAAATAAAATATTGTTAGTGCAAAAAATACGAAATCAAAACTTAAAAAGCATTTTGCTGTTTAAAATCACGAGATCAAAAAAAAAAAAATAAAAAATCCCGTTCAAGGTACATGTACCGAACCATCGGAATTAAGTGAACACGTAAAAAGGAACATAGGTTTGTGGGTAAGGCTAGAAGAAGGAAAAATCTATTATTTCAAATAAAAATAAATGAGGAATGATCAGAACTTACCGAACAGATTTTATTATTTAGTTTTATCATACATGTTGCTTAAAAATAGTCGAAAATCTGTTTTTATGATTTCAGTGATTCCTTTTTTTATTTTGATGGCTTTTCAATATTCCTTGGACGCTAGGATTCTCTGCATCATAGCTGAATCCATCCTGTTACGCAGTTTAGTTTTTTTAGGGTGATCGACGAAAACATCCTTCAAACTACCGCTGAGGAGTGTGGCAATGCAAGTAGGGTTGGCACAATTCGTCTGAGATAAGGAAAAGCGATTTTGCCATTCACCGGTTTGGTGGCCAGTACCACTCCCCAAAATTCAACACCATCATCAAAATTAGTATCCATTGGCAAATCCATCTTTCTCACCTCGCGGAATTCGTCGTATACCATTTGCATTTCGAATTCGTTGATAACATTTGAGAACATTCGATCATCATTAAAACAGTTGGACATTTGTGTAATTTTCAATAGTGACCTATTGAAAATCGATAAAGTGTTCATTTTAGTAGATTTGTAGAAAACTAGCCAATCGATTGGTTTGTTTAGAATTAAAATCCATCCGCTATTGACAGACCTATAAGGGGTCAAAACCTGACCACTTTTCGTAACGCGGTCGATTTTGGTTTTTTTTTTAAATTGCACCCTCAATATGTAGCCGGAAGACGTAATCCTACGTCAAATGGAGGGACTTCAAATGTATATTTTGTGCAGAATATGTAGAAAAGGACGGATCTCGGATGTTAATCTAAATGCATATATATACGTACCAGACGTGTTTTGCACTGCACTGTCCTCTGTGTACAATAAACGGAAAATATATTATGCGTAGTTTCTGATAGCTGTAACCGCAAACAAAAGCAGATACATCTGATGGAAAAAAATGAATTCCGAAGCTTGACAAAATAGTTGACATGCAGCGCTAGTATAATTTGATTCAAAAGGCTTGCTTAAGCAGTCTTCATTCACTGAAAACTAATCTTATTTAGAGAGTGAGTCACTTTTATTCATTCGTATGGAGAAATTTCTAAAAGCGTAGGTTACTCATGAGCTGAGTGACCTACGCTTTTAGAAATTTCTCCATACGAATGAGTAAAAGTGACTCACTCTCTGAATTAGTCACTCTCACATGAGTGAGCTTTTATTCTCGAGAAATCGACGGCTAAAGCCATTGTTTACAAATGCAATTACGCCCCTTTGAAATGTTGGCACTGATATGTTATATTCATAGAAAATCAAGGCATAAATTTAGACGCAGTGCGAAAATGACATAAATTGGTCCAACCAAAATTCGTTACCCTACACCGGGGCAAGGTGAAAAGCGAGGGAAAGTTGAAACGGTAGATGTATCTCTTAGCGAAAGTAAATATTCACTGAGATTATTTCTAATATTGTAGTTTGCGGTATTACACAATGCCTCTCAAAAATAACTACAGTGACTATTCCTTTCGCTAAGAGATATACGTACCGTTTCAACTTACCCCGGTGTACCTTAACTATGATGTTTCCAATCAAAACATTGAACAAGTGGAGAACCTGTATAGGAGCTTTTGCTCTAACTTAGAAATTCAATAACTGAATCCTACTAATTTATCGCTGAATTTCTACAAATTTAACTGAACTTCTATAAAGTTCACAGAACTTTAAAAAATGTTCATAAATTCTATAAAGTTAAATAAGCTTCTTACTGCACTTCAAGAGAGTTTCTTGAACTTGGACGTCATTTTCTAAACTTCCACGAATTTAGTTGAAGTTTTGCAACGATCTACGGACTTATAAACCTTTACCTGAACTTTTACGACGTTCCCCGAACTTCGCCAACAGAAACGGAGCGACATCTACAAAGTGATTTTTTGATGCAGCCTTGGCACTCGGTAGGTCGGTAGGCTCCTGGCCACACAATTAAAACGACTATTTCACCATAGTAATCCAGCTAGATCCAACTCATTGAGCCACATGCCAGATTTTGATGGTTTAATAGTTGGCTGGATCTAGTATGAACATAAAATAAAATGCACTATTTGTTCCCCCGGATTTTTGGAGTCGATTTAAGGGATAAGGCCTAATTTTGAAGGAATGTCGAAGATGAACTCATTTGCAGATCACTGTTTAGTTCTTCTGTAAAAAGTAGAGAATTAGCAAATTTTGTTCCTTGGAATAGAAGTTTATTTTTGTGATTGTGCAGTGATTGAATGATAGAGTGATATTGTGCCATATTTAGACTGACTTCTTGTAACAAGTTGTAAAACATAATGTTATTTTGATTAATGTCATCCATCCAGCACAATGCTTAAGTGATTCCGTTGTACGTAAATAAACTGTCCAGGGGGCAGGGTCTAGCTGAGAACACCAGGTTCAGGCCACACTTGGCGCCAAAACTGGTTCGTTTGCTACGAACGTTTTTACACGTGCCTAATCCCATTATCACGTTAATTACTGATCCGGTTATAACACCGATACGATGAGTGATAAAAAGCGCTTATTCAAATAGGCAACCAGACACGCGCGATTCAGCATCGACCGACTCAATTAACGAGATATTTGGTTTTCAAACAGAACTACTCGGCTAGCTTAATCCAATAGACTTGAAAACCGGTTCAATTATGAATCTGTTCATGACCAAGATAATATGTTATGCTCCACATTTAATAGCCGGTGATAAAATAAAGTCGTGTGTGATTGGCTACGGATTAGTGGTGCGAGGAATCATCTTCTTTGGAAAGGAATATGAACTGCATTTTCTGCCTTGAAAAAGAGCAATACCGTTTCGGCCATTCATCCTGAGTGGATTCGTTTTCGTGTACAAACTCCATGAGTAACCGAAAGTGATCACCACACCGAGGCGACATACTTAGCGCGACATACCTGATCTTATCGAAAACAACTTTTCGAGTTCTTCTTTGTTCCGTTTCACCTTGATCGTCGGGACCGCGCGATGAGATTTGTATCATTTTTCATTTGTCTGCTAGGGGCACTCAAGGTGTTGATCAGTTACTTACCGATGCTCATTCGAGCCAATTTTGTCACTTAACCGGGCATCCTCTCGGCTACAGTACGAGGTTCCGAATCATTCCTTAGGGGACAAAGTGGTTTTTCAACGGAAATCCCTCCCAGTTGATACGGCTATACTGTTTCATCTTGTATCGAATCGCCAAGGTGCACGCGGAAAAGCGGCTGGAGATCGCTGCCGTCGTCGTAGCAGCAGAGAGCGTCCACAGTGAGGGGGTGGTTGTAAAAGTGGGATTTTCGTTTTCCCAACTTTACGCGGTTCGGTTCGATTCAGTTTCGATCGGAACAGAAGCGCGATTGGTCATTTGGATCGTCGTTCGCCGTTCGTTGGTGGCAACATAATGAACCTTCGCGAGCGGGAAATGTTACGTGTGCGTTTGAGAAAAATAGAGTTGTTGATCAGAGTGAATTCCGTTTCTTTCCGCATCAGAGCCAGTCAATCGGAGGAAGATGAATAAAGCAAGCAAAAATTTCCATCGGAAAAACATTCTAGCGAATCGCACTGATTACTGAGCTCGATGAAGCAAAACAACCCCAACTGCCGATAGGAGTGAAGTGTGAAAAAAGTGATAGTGATAAGCTTAGGCCTAAGTACAAAGTATAGGGAGGCAAATTGTACCACAGGATGAACGAGTCGTCGTCGATTGAGTCGCTACTGGCCGTGATGGTTGGTGCCGGTTCCGAAAGTAGTGATGGATTTCCGCTGGCAGCTAATGATTCTTTTCGCGAGCAGTGCCTTCAGCTGAACGATACGCTATTCTTGGAGCTTTCATGTCCGCCGCTGTTCGATTCCATCTCCTGCTGGCCAAGGACACCGTCGGCGACGACGGCCGTCCTGCCGTGCTTTTCGGAGTTCAAGGGCGTGCAGTACGATACGACACGTGAGTATTCTGCTTCGCAATATGTTTGTTTCTTTTTCTTTTTCAGAACTGTTGATTTGTGACAAGAGTTTCATGAAGCATTTCATGAATGAAATATTTATTTGTTCGGGATTTGCATTGTGATTCACGATAAACGAAAAGGAAGACATAGTCCCATCGAAATCAAATGCCAATGCGTTGATATGCGATTTAAAATCAAACACATCCTAGATATTAAAAAAAAAACATCCAATTTGCACTGATCGATTCTTGTCATCGGTTTTATCTTTCGTTAATAATTCGGAAACATTCGCTAATGTGCTTGTCGTTTAAAATGCGAGTTATAACCATTTAATATCGAACAATGGGATGCAAATATCTCGAAACGTGTTTGCATAACCATTAGGGTGGCCTAAAATAACACTTTGCCTGGAAATCTGGGGCTCAACCTCCAAATGATAGACGAGGATGTTACAAAAAAACTACAAGGTACAGCCCTATGGGGTTGTTGTGGTCTTATATAATAAATCGTAAGCGTAACTATTCAAATCGACGTATCTGGTTTTGTAAGCAATCACTTAAATCGACGATTTATGGCAACTGCTAGCTCACTCAAAGAAATTAACAACACCAGCTAGTAGGGGCAAGATTCGCCTACCTGATGATGGTATTTGTTTGCGTGCGTGAGTTAGCGGTTAAGACAAATAGTCGATTGAAGTGATCACTGGTAAATTAAACTATTCCCATTTTGCTTGAAATTTAATCAATTTGGCATTGAACTCAGTTTAATCATATCGAATGATTAAAAATTAATACTCTCTTTCTAAAAAATAAGCATCTGACATTACTCCCAGTTTAATCATGGTTGATTAGAGTGGAGATTATCTTTTTTGAATAAATTTCAATCATTTTTGATTCTATTTTAATATTTTTGGATTGAATTTTAATCTTTTTTGATTATATATCAGTATTGAAAAAGAATAAAATTTAATACTGGAAAGATTATTTCGAATTTAATCATGCATGACTACTGCCAAAGTAATCATGGCTCGGACTCAATAAGGTGAAGCGGGAATCTGCATACTTTTTAAGCTTTTTTGATTTACTTTATCTTTGAGTGATTGTTTACAAAAGCAGATACATCGATTTGAATAGTTACGCTTGAAGTATTATAAAAGACCACAACAACCCCATAGGGCTGTACCTTGTTGTTTTTTTGTAACATCCTCGCCTATCATTTGGAGGTTGAGCACCAGATTTCCAGACAAAGTGTTATTTTAGGCCATTAATTAAGTTACTCACATGTATGTACATTAGACTGATGCAAAATTTGAAATTTTCGCTCCACAGTGCTCAAACGGTTTCAAATCAGGTCCTGATCAGCCTCCCAAAATTTAAATTCATTTGGTAAGAAAATTACTTGGCACAAACTATCCGAAGTTTATATGGAAATTACTATGGGAAAACCAAACTTTTTGGTTTATTGTCTTATACCCATTTTTCATATTGCTTTTTCGAAAATTTATATAACTATTATTACGGGAAATTTTTCTAAGCTAATCTTTGCGGAATATCGATTTTCAGCCAAATGTCAAATAAAATAGTAATTAATTGTTTAAGAGATTGATAATCTTATGGCATGATCAAGCAGCTGTTCTGTGGGCAACACTGTATTCTGCAATGTGACATAGTAGCCATGATATTTGTGCTCTATTCTTCGCACCAGAAACACCAATGTTGCCTGATGAACAGTTGAATGAGCATAATCATAAGACATCAGTTACTTGAATCATTAATAACTTTTGTTCCTTACATTTGATTGAAAAGTGGTTTTCAACAAAGTTGTAGCTGAGAAAATTTGCTACAATCATTGTTATCATTTTTAAAAGCATAGTGATGTGGTGAATTGTTAGATAGATATGAACAAAAACACAAGTTTTCCCATAGTAATTTCCATATAAATTTGAAATGGTTTGTGCCAAGTCAGTCTCTTACTAAAGTAGTTCAAATTTTGGGAGGCTAAGCAGGACCCGATTTGGAACCGTTTAAGCACTGTGGAGCGAAAATTTCAAATTTTGCATCAGTTCAATGTACATGGAACTAAATTAGTACAACGCTATTTCAGGAGCGTCGTTTCCGAATATTGCTACTGTCCTGATAATATATGAGGTCACATGAGAACCATGAGGAAAGTCGTCACTAAAAATTAGTTTAGAGTGTAGTACCAACACCTCTATGGTAGTACGTCGTTGTTGCGATGCTGTTTAGTCGGTGGTCCATTCTCGTGATTGGCTACATTTGGACGCTTGCGATCGTTGGAGTTGTACGAGGATGATGATGGCCGATCTGCTCTCCTGACTTCGAAAATACTTGGGTCGTCCTGTTGACGCATCTTGAGTCCCCTTAATTGGAATATTAACGATTCCATTCCTCCCACATTTTATTGGCGGCGATGCCACTTGTGAACGGTTTCATGTGGTACCAGCGGATGCTGGAGGATGAACTTCCACCGACACTTGCACAAGCGTTTACCTCGCAAGAGAGGTTCCAGCTGTTATCAGCATTTCCAGTCATCGTCCAGTCCAGAATTTGACTGAAAACGGCTCAGGGCGTCATTTATATCCGCAAGTATTTTCTCCATACAGTCGATCCGTTCGGTGTTACTGGTGTGTTCCAGTGTTTCCTGGCTTGCGTTTTCGGTGGGGATTGCTTCAGGAGTAGATGTGCTAACCGATGGCGATCTCGATGAATAAGCAGATGTATCATCCGAGTTCGATTTTTTTTTGTCATCGTGTGTGTCGGTATCAGAGTCACTAGCATCATCGCAGTCGATTTGGTTATCGATTTGAACATCTTCCTCAACGCAGCCGGTTGGTTCGTCAACCACTCGAACGTACCTGCTGTTGCTCTCAGTCATATTTCTTGGATCTGCTCTCGGGTCCACGCGATCATAAGATCCGCAGCGCGATTTTTTTAATCCGCTCTGTTAATGCACAATGTGTCCGATGCGCGATCGTAAGATCCGGTGCTAAGGACCTGTCATCATTTCATCAATGCACGACCTTTCCGATCCGCTTTTCAAATGCGCGACGTTTTGATCCGCTTGCGCGACTTTTTATGCCCGCTTCCCCAATGCGCGATCTATCTGATCCGCTCATCTTGTGCACAATCTTAGTAGATTTGCGTTTTATGCATATACATTCAATCCACGCAATCTAACCTCACCTTATTTATCAATTTATTTTTTTTACTGCGTTGAAAACTTTGGGTGATTCTTTTCCGACTTCTAATCGAGGTTCTGATTATCCGTTGCAACAAAGGTGGGTTGTTGCAACTCCTGGCAGGATTGCAATTGTGAATAACTGACCATCAGCTGGAAAGGAATCTGCCCGATATCGCCGCACGGCTTACCTCCATGGTGGTTGGTGATTGAGTGACACGAGAATGCAGTGTCCAGTTCGTTGTCCTCGCATCGCAACGCTCATCATAGCTTGCACAGAAATTCAAAACAACCCAAAATTAAGTTCTTTTCACTCATCTCCCATGTTCCGTACAATAAGCCAAATTTGGGTAAACCGGCTCAAAGTAGTTTGCATTTAAGCACGGCAAAAAAAATTACCCATCGCTAAGTAATTTTCAATTTTTTCTACCCAAAATTAAGTTCAATTAACTCAAATTTGGGTATATCGCATATTACTCAATTTTGGCTTCTTGTACGGAACTAGACGGTTGAGTCGAATCTTTCGTTCTATTTTTGACAACAATAGCGAGAGGAAATGAAACGGACAGAGGTCAAATAACTCAAATTTGAGTTTAAAAAACCCAAGCGGTGGGTAGTTTTGTTTTTCTGTGTACTCCGAGTCCGTGCGATAGTGCTGAATGTTCAGCACACTGCACAGAGAAGCATTGGGCGCTCTTTGCACCCACATACTGTTAAGAATTAAAATCCATCATCTCTGGATCAAAATCAGATAACTTTCATGCCGCGACCGACTTTGGTTTTTGAAATTGCATCCCAAATGTTGTATCCAGATAGAACTGGAATTAGGCGTAACAGCTTTTGTAAACAATGACTTCTCTCGATGATTTTTTGAAATTCAAGGCACGCCCACGCAAACCAACATTACCGACGGGTAGGAGAAGTCTTACCCTACCTGATTGTGATGTTGATTTGCGTGGGTGAGCCTAGACTTTCAAGACATCATCATCGAAAGAAGTCATTGTTTACAAAAGCTGTTACGCTCTAATTCCAGCTATGTCTTGATATGGGAACTGACATCCGATTGATAACCTTGACAAATTTCAAAAAAATACTCGTATACAAATTTTTGGTGGTCCTGAAAATGATTGTTTTGTCGTGATGGTTGAGTAATGCTGAGCTATTAGGGTGTTAAACACTTATGGGGAGGGTGAGCTGTATGCTGTTTGGAATTAGGGTGATGCGCTTGGCATAGATGGCCCACAGCGACTCACGAAGAGCTACTGATTACGATCAATAGCACTGCGGCTTCTTCTTCTTCTTTCTTCGGAGAATGGACGCTCGTGAGGGCAGCCTTGATAGCTAGCTGCTTGCCGTGAACCTTTCGTTGCGTACTGGAGAACACCACCACTCACCACGCGGTGATTGAATAAACGCCATTTGGTGAGACCGGATGGAATTCAACTTTGAAATCTGTGTTAGGGAAATCGCCTTTCGCAGGCAATCGGTGATATGTTTAACTATCATAGAAACAGTTGCACGATCGTTCAATTTTCAAAAATTGTAGCAAGTACGCTTTATGATTAGCGCATTAGCAATGAACATTTACAAACTACAATCATAGTTATGCTTTCTATAAATTATTTATTCTGTTATATGTTATTTATTAATTAAAATATGAAATATCGTTTTTTCAAATAAATCTTAAATGTGTTCACCGCTAAGGAACACCCATTATTAGAATGGGTAAAAGAGTTACCCTAGCCATAAAAACTGTTCAAATGAGTTCCCGTACACGTTAGCTACAAGCGCAAAGCACATG